GTTTAGTGTCAGTTTACTGGGCTAACAAGCTAACTCGTAAATCCAAGCTCAACAAGTGTCAGTAACGTGATCTGTTCCGAATTGATAAGCTCCAGTGTACTGATTCCTTGCTTTTTGTTGTTTGAGCCTTATTGGCTAATAGCCCCATACTTGTAATTAACCCTATAAAACCTCATGTGCACGTCTTGGAGGTCCTCAGAGCTTCGGAGCAGAAGCCCCTCTGAGCCCGCTGGCTTAATAAATCTGAGTGCTCCAACCCTCCGAGTGGTGCTTGTTTCTTGGCTGGCCTGTCATTTCCGTAACAATGGTGTTAATTCACTCTCAAAGAAACATGAGCACTTTAGACCTTTAAAGTCGCCAGAAAGAGGACATTTTAATTTTACTGAACTTACATTTTACCATTTATATTTGTATCTTTGTGGAGAGAAGTCTAACAGGCTGGTAAATAAAAGACTTTCAACCTAAAAGTATATCATGTTGTCCAAAATTTATTGGGGGGGGTTAGGAAATGAAAATACACAAGGGAAACATGCAAAATGTCCGACTGCAGAGACGCACTTGTTCCTGCGTTTCTGGCCGCGTCGCAGGATCAACTCATGCTGGTGTTTATACTTGGTCGGTTATATTTAAAATAATGATGTAACCGTTTTATTTTTAACCGGTGACTATTTACAATATGCCAACCGTGGCAACGATTTAAAAATGGTGGAGGTGTTAGATGCCCCCTGGACATCATGCGAGGGTTACGCCGCTTCCCCCCAAATCTTTGAGAGGTACTCAGACAGAAAAGCTTAGCACTCACGCTGCTCCAGGGAAAGGATGGTCCCAGGCAGCGGTCCGGGCCTGCCACCTGCGCCCTCTGCTGGCGAGCTGTGTTTCTACTTCCTCTTTGCTCTGGTTCCCAGGTGCGGTCAAAACCCGCACCTGGGGGGCCTGGCCGGAGCCGCGCTGCCCCCGGCTACCCGGCGGGGGAGCTCAGGGATGGGAACGACCCGCTCCCAGCACACCGCGCGCAGACCCACGGGTTGCAGAGGCGGCAGGCGCGCTCTGGCCCCCATGCTGCACCTGGGAGAGCTTCCTTTCCTTGCACTTGACTAGGGGACGCCAGCCTTGGAAGCGGGGGCGACGTTAGGAAAGCAGCCCTGACGACAGCGCCGTGTCGCCGTGGTCGCCGCGCCCGGCGCTGTGCGCAGCGCGCTCCATGGACCCACTCCCCGACGCCCCCTCGGCCGCGAGCTGGAACCCCAGCTGAAACCCAAACGGCCCGACGGCCGCAGGAAGGTCAGTGCGGGC